ATGTCCAGGGTATAAAATTGAATCTGGCCAAGTGAAACTTAGTAAGATTCAACAAAAGGGAAGTAATAGTGGCTTTCTCATCTGCATTGAATAGTCACTTTGACATTTGGATGCAATAGATTATTCTGTACAGTATGGGGTTCTCTAAGTGTGCATGGCAACCATTTGAGACAGCAAGTCAGACATGGATAGTTAGTTAGTGCCAAGAGCATGAAATCAAGCAAAAGAGATTTCTAATAAGTAAACTTCCTAGCAGTAAGTATAGCTGAATGTGGAATTAACTGCCAAAGGAAACAATGTCTTAAGTCAAAGTCACTGCAGGCAGGTAGGATTAACTGCAACAACCAAAAGATCCACTCAGCCCACAGGTTTTAGCACTTCAGTACTTCCTAATCAGCTCTTGCAAACATTCACTTGGCTCACCCCTTAACTGCGTTTCCAAACCTTATTTTTGTTCTCGTAACGTTTACATGACCAAAGTTTTGTTCACTTTACTATCTGTATATATACTCACCATACAAATATTCATTATTTCATGAATAACCACAAGACTGTTGTTACTATTTTTCTTCTTTTCCCTCCCCCTCAAAAAAACCTTAAACAAAACCAAGCAAACAAACAAACAAACAAAACCTGTCACCCATCAGGAAATCGAAACAGTAACATTTGACATAGATCAGTACAATATCTGAAAAGAACATTTCTGCCAGTGCAACTCAGGTGACATTTGTTCAGTCCCACTGCTTTCTAAGGATTAGCAAATAGAGTTGGTCAGTGAATGGAAAGAGCTCAGCTTGCAGCCACTATTCATGAAGCTTTATAATTGTTCCTGCCACTTATTTGCCTTGAGTATATTGAGTATTTGCATGGCTTTCTGCCATCTCCAAGTGATTTTTTTTTCAAGTATATCCTACACTTCAGAAATGAGTCATCTGGAATTTGAAAATTCTTACTGTCAGATGTGCAATTGCATCAAAAAAGGTGCAGATGTATGGTTTAGATCCAGAAAATCAGCACAACCATATAAAAAACCCTCTGTGAATAAAAGTATCAGGGAGTGTTTTCCCCTCAAAGGGTTTTAGGACCCAGAAGGCCTCATACAGTTGTCTTGAAAAGCATAGCCAAAGCCTATGCTATAATACACCTCTTGCCTTTTTTTGTAGGCATTCATCTTCCACAGGATGGAGATTAAGGGAACTATTCATATGGTTGTGATCCTGCAGGAGCTTATTATGATCTTCACAAATCAGTAGTAAAATGTACTGTATTGTACTTGTCATAGCCTCCAGATGCCATGTCTTTGCTGCCTGTCTCAAAAATTCATAACAGTGAACATGGTGGAAGATACACATTATGTGTCATTGCTCCCTGCCTCCAAAAGAGCATGAATAAAATTTTGCCATCAGTTTTCACTTAACTGATTTCACTGGATATTTTGCCTTTGGTTATACTCTCTTCTTTGTGACTTGCTTTTTGATATATGATGTCACTGAAAGTGTAAAGACCCTTTTTTCCTTTATGGAGTATGAAATAGATAATTTTAAAATACAGGCTAAAAGTCCCATTGACTAAACAATGTTATGTTATAGTCTACTTGTTGTGATTTTTCAAGCTTATTTGCTCATGCAACTCCTCCATTAATATAGCTATGAAGTAAATTCTTTACCCGATTTCATTATCTTTTTAAATAAGACATAGTCAGTTTTGCCCTATAGAGAATGAAAATATTTTCTAAATATGATATTACCATTTATTCACAGAAAAAAAATACAAATTTAATTCTGAATCTTGGTGTAGAATGAGGCCTTAATTCTTTTTTGGTAACTTCTATGAACTCTTCTGTCAGAAGACAACCTTACAGATCTCATCTACACAAAATACATAGATGAAGTTTCAAATGCAGCACAGATTTTAAACTTTAAGCAAAACAACACTAAAAAAAAGAAGTTTTGGTAATGCTATTAAATTCTCTAGGGAACAGATGTGAGCTCTAATGCCTCCCTGGAAAACACACCTTTTTAACTTAATTTGCTGGGCAAGAAAAGACATGGATTTCACTTTTTGCACAGAAAAATTAAATGTGTATCTTACATGTATATTCAAACAAAATGGGAACCAGAAATTATGGCAATTAATAACCTGACCTTTGAATAAGCAGTTCAATACAAGGAAGCATTTTTCTTAATAACCTGATGCTAAGTTGCAAGAAAAGAGCTTTTATAGTCACTAAGTGTATGGCTTCCCAATTAAATCTTGCTTGCAATGTGAGAAAATATCTCATTTTTGCATCTGAAAATGTGCCCTCTAAAATATTTTAAAAAAGAATATATTAATTATGAATCTATTAACTTAAAAAAAATTACAATTGCAATATATTGGGCAGCCTTTTTATTTAGGTAGCAGTTCCAAAATTTGGTGCGGATTTGACTAGAAGCCTGTCTTTTAATCAGGTTTTTAAAATTGGTGATTCTCAAAATGGCCAGCTCCTTACATGACAGCAGAATTAATCTGCAAATCACACTGTTTAATGACAGTGCTGATATTTATATGCAAATATATGCACTTCTAATCATAAGGTTAAAAACTTGGCCTCTGCCAAAGGACACATCTACATAGAAAGGTGTAGCATTATACACCTGGTTCCAAATAATTCATTTGAGGACAAGCTGGGAATTTGTACACGGTAATCCCTTGTTCCAGTAGTCATACCAAAGGGCTGCCTTCTTATCTTTTTATATAGTGATTTTTTAGTTTTTCTTCTGAACTGCTCTGCTGCTCTCTACTGATACCACTTTGGGAGCAGCCCAATTCTGCACGTAAAAACCACACAGGTATTTTAGGAGGGTTGTTAAAAGAAAAGTCCCCATACACATAAAACTGTAATATATTATAATTAATCTTATCTTGAAAAAACCCAACAATTATTGAAATCCCTTCAAGTACAAACAGACCAGCAATACTCATTCAGCAAAATTACAAAATTACGTTGAGTCACCTTAATTCTTCTGTGAAGACACATTTTATCAGTACTTTTATAGTTCCATACATTGTGTCCTTGCCAGATGCTTTTTATTCTCCTCTAAAAGTTCATCAAACAAACTTATCATCAAAGAACTAAAATAGTTTTGTCAAGCCGTTTTATTTTTTTCTCATATTTACTTCTAGCCTCTAAAGCATCTTGTTATGTACCTACAGTATTTTTTCTATCTATTTCAAAAAAAACCAACCATTTTTTACCTCTAAATATTGCAGCAAATATCATGATGTTCATTGTTTGATTCTGCTACCATTTTTAATTTAAAGAGAGTTATATTTGACAGTAAACTAGATGCTGGTTTCTTGTATCAAACACCTGAATTTGCATTTAATATACAAGTAAGGAGGTATATTTAAAAATGAGCATTTATTATGCTGGAAAATTAACCATGCTGTAGTGTTTGGTACACTTCAAACAGCACATAAAACATTTTACAATATGATGGTAAACACTAGTTTATTAAGAGCCATGTACTGAATAATCAGTTATACTTAAAACTTCAGAAGCTCAGTTTCTCTTTGAGTAAGAGTTAACTTTGGAGTAACCCACAGTTCCTTAGGTATTGTAGAATTCTAGATTTATAGAATAGTATGGGTTGGAAGGGACCTTTAAAGGCCATCTAATCCAATCCCTCTGCAATGAGCAGGAGCATCTTCAACTAGATTGGGTTGCTTAGGGCCCCATCCAACCTGACTTTGAATGTTTCCAGGGATGGAGCATCCACCACCTCTCTGGGCAACTTGTTCCAGTGTTTTACTACCCTCATTGTAAAAAATATCCTTCTTATATCTAATCTAAACTGACCCTCTATTAGTTTAAAACCATTGTCCTTTGTCTTATTGCAACGGCTCCTCCTGTTGTTTTAAAAATATATTCATCCATGCATGCCCTCAGCACTGCAGCACCAACATCACAAAGTTTGATTTTATTTCTCAACTAAGTTCCTGCAGCTACTGTGAAACTCTCTGTGGTTTAATATACACTTTTATAACAGGGTTTTAATTCATGATATAAAAGTAAGAAAAATAAACCCAAAAATCTATACTTCATTGTTCTTGTTGAATGAAAGTATGTAGTCTTTTGACTATCTAATCAATTCAAAACAACAAGTGAAATCAGTTTTTCTTTTTTGTTAGAATATCAGAGGGCTCCCATATGTTTTATGTCACTCAGCGAAGTGAATGGATGAGACTTGTAGATGTGTGTTCCCCACTTTATTCTAATGTCTGGTTATTAAAAGACAAATCTCAAATAGTATTTTCCAGCTAAAATACCAGTAAAGCCAGGATAAAAATAGATACTTAGAAATAGGGCATCATACACTCCATTTTCTGCAGGTTTGCAGATTTTCTTTAAACACTGAAGGAAGGGCATTTAGAAATTACCCTTGCTTTTCATGAAACATTATCAGTTCTGCTCTTAACTACAGGATCATTTGTACCATTGCTCATCCAGATTTCAAATGAAATTCCAAAGACATATTCAAATACTCGAGGCAATACCTTTGAAAAACACATCACATATTTAGACAATCTGAGCTACTCTGATAGAATTCTTATTTATCACTTTAATTTTATCTCTAGCACCAGGCAATAATTGATGTCTTGTTTCCATTTTTCCCCTCAGGACCCAACATGACATTTGTTTGAATACTGTATTTTCCTTAACTGCCCCATTCAAGTTTTTACAATAGTCAAAGCCTTCTGCTAAAGAAACCATGAAGATAAAAAGAAGCAACTTCAAAGTACTACCATGAATTCCAAGGTTGCATCTTCCAGAGAAGAACAAACTAGCAACTTGGAGTTAAGGTTCCAATAAATATTTCCTGAAACCCTGAGTAATACAAGCAGCAATCCCATTTTAACTGGTCTAAGGTAAAAGTATTTGAGATTCAGCTTTAATCTGAGATCCAAAACCAGTATGTATTTAGGGGGAAAAAAAGGATCATCGTAGAAAAACTTACAATAGGAGCAGCCATAGACTTCAATTCTTAACCCAATCTGGCCCTCTTCGTTCCAGTCCAAAGGAACTATCCTTACATAGCGAGCAATAACGGGATGTTGTAAATCGTGCCGGACCACACTGTCAGAGTTTGTATTTCCAGGAAATGCCTAAGGGAAAGAAGAAAAAAAAGAGGAAATTATTGTATTAAATCTATCTCACATGCTGTAAAGATTTTTTTCTGAAGGAAAACATTAAGTAGTGAAGTCTTCTGAATGTCTAGGATACATTGACGTTTGTTTTAAATGTTTCTTGGATAGTGAAAAAATGAACAGTTGATTTACCAAGTTGCATAAGAGTACTAAAACAGTAGCATTGAGACCTCTTCATCCACCACAGACATGTTTAAATCATGGAACGCCTGCCGTTAGATAAGAGGGCAATCCATTTTCCATCACTAATCTTTTACTCAGTTTATTAACATGTTAATAAAAGTGTCCAGCCAGAGTGGTTGGTCTGGGGAAGAAGCTACCTACCCTCCATCAGTAAGATTATACACAGCAGTCATCCTTCTGTAAATATGAATATTGAAAGAACTTTCTTACTACTGCAACTTCTGAAATTTCTAAGAACTTAAAAATCCTCATTTACTTTTGATGCACTACTTGCTGAAAAGTAAGTGACCAGGTTCTTTCCTAACCATAGTTGTCTCCCACAGCACTGCCAATTCCTGACCTGTGAAGGTCAGGAAAGGACACAAGAGCATTCAAGGGAGTTTGAAAATCAATTAATTAATATTTAGGTCACTATTTGTAGTTCTGTACCTATTGGTAAAATATTCCATAGCATGAAGCTGCCTATTAGTTAATTCAATAGAATATTTTTTTTTTGTCTTGTCCATTTACAGTCCATTCATGCAGTGATGGTAAATGTTAATCTCAACATTTTCAGGGGAAATTTCTTTTAACAATGAATGGAGTAGTCATAAAGAACATCGGAAAGGTGATACATTAATAGAGAGAGACTATGAAAATAGAAATTTTTTTGCATCCTCGTTAAAAAGACATTTTTGCTGCAGAGAAAAATATTCAGCAGTATTATCTACACAGTTAGCATCTGAATAAATATATATAAAACCTATATATAATAAATACCTATAGTGGAACAAAAAACCCAAAGAATAAGGAGTACAATTGCAAACTGTAGTCATCAAAATATTGAAAGAGGGAAAATTTAAGTTGGTCCTTTGCATACAGCTATAGCAATAGCTAATTACATGCCCAGATACTACTTATTCCAAAAAATATATCTTAGAAGAATAATTATTTTGTACCATGCACAGTAGATCTGGGTAGATGTAAAGAAGATGCACAGGATCCCTTACTTGCTGGACTCAAAAAATTATAACATATACTAACAATTGCATTCACCTTAATTTTTCTGTGCTGCAGCTATTAATGTACTAAATTATGATGATGGCACTCCTCAGATGAGTTTGTAAGAGATGTTAATTAGTGTCTGTGAAACACATATATATGAGTAGCATAAGGAAATGAACAGTTCTGTCTTCTGAGAAGGCAATAACCAACAAAGGAAAGCACACACTGAACAAAGACAAAAATCCTATTGAGAAGCTGCCTGTTTTTTCAGTCTTGTTCTAGGAATCACAGAAGTTCATGGAGGGAATAAAAACTTTGATTCCTTTAAAAATATGTATTTTAGTGGGCATGCAAAGTAGTGCTCCATATTTCAAGAGCAAATTGCTTTTGGGCATGTCTTAATTTTGTGTTGCTTGGTATAATCTTACCAAAACTCTACTGATGTAGAGGTTTACTGGTTGTTTTGCTTTAGGTCTTGTTTAGTTGTTTGGGTTTTTTTTCTAATTAGAAGTATTAGGGCCAAAGGAAGCTGAATATAGGAGGACAAGATATTTTCTATATAATTTGATAGATTATTGATGAAAAATTATTCTCAAAATCAAAAATATATTCTGTAGCTCACCAAACTTGCACCCTGACTTGTGCTTTCCCAGTCCTTTGTCAGAAAGACTTAAAGCTGAAACCAGCATGCATTTGGTGTTTTGAGGGTTCCTTCTGGTATATGATCTAGTGACCTCTGGTGAATGCATAAACATAGTCAATACAGAACAAGATAGCCTCCCATTAGTTTCCCTGATTAGTAAAATGCATTCCATTTAGTCTCCAGCAGAACAATATCTTTTAAACGCAGCCTTCACTTAAATAAATGGGGTACAGTAATACCTGCTTTGTGGATAATGCAAATATCAGGCCCAAATCCATGATTGCAAGGCTGAAAAATCAATTTACAGGAGCTTGGGAATTATGCACCACTGTTGCAAAATCTTCTTTTCTAGTTAATAGATTTAAAAGTATAATTTAGACCCACATCTCTAACAGAAGATTTTCTTTTTAACAGGGCTAAAAAAAAATAAATTGAAATTGCAAAATTATTTTTTCAGAAAAAGGTAGAAATACCTATATAAATTAAACAAGTTTTTCAGATTATTAATCTCATTAGCTTGCTTAAGTATTACTGCCAGAGGTCTGCTTTTCACAGTTTTTCTTTAACCCAAACTGGGAAAATGAACAAAATGGCTCACTTTTCTGTAAAACAGAGAGGACTGTCTCATAAGTCCAACTCCAAAATCCTCTGTTCCATAAATCATTTCTCATCTTGTACTGGATACTGACTTCTGTAAGCTGCTTTATGTTACAGCTCACATTGCAATGAAAAGATTGGAAATGTGATGAGCAACAACCACTTTTCTCAAAGGCAGTTCTCCACAGGACAGCAGTGTAATAAGGACGAAGACAGGTAAGAGAATAAGTCCCCAGATCTTTTCTAAACAGTGCTTTTGAACATACATTGAATGGAGTTTTCAAAAGTATTCACTAAGATTTTCGTGACTGTAATCCTTAAGAGTAAAATTTGTTTAGCTCCAACTAATTTTCAAAAATTAACAGGGCAGGTTTATAGGACAGATAATTTATTTTAACGGGCCAACTAATCAAGTTTTTAAATAAATAAATAAACAAACAAATAAATGTTTGGCTCAGCAGTCTTCTTTAACATCAGCAGCAGCAAAAAGAGCTGTATGATCTTTGAAATTCACTTTGGCTTTATCAATACTCTTCAGCCACACCACCATACAGAGAGACATAGTAGAGACATTCAATATAATTTTCTTTTCGTAAATAAAGAACCTGAGAAAAGTGAAGGTAAGGATTTGGGAAATTTAGAAGAAAAGTTAGGGAAAGTTAAGATTCAGACAATTTTTTTCCTGTATTTCCAGAAAAATGATATTCTAATCAATGATTATAAATGTTAAAGCTAAATGATAAATTCATAGTAGTATTGTAGTGAAGTTACATGCAGCTTAACAGTAGTAGTTAAATAAAACTGATCAAAATGGTTTTAGTTTCCTGTAAAGGAACACTTTGCAACAGTTTTACTCTACTCAGCTGTATGGATACAGCAAATGCATTTTAAGATCTCAATTTGGGAAAATGCTTTGAGTACATTTTACAACAAAGGATTAAAAAGAAATTCAGCATTAAAAAATTTATCTCTGAAGTAAGAAGGTGCAAAAAATGAATGAAATGTTATTAACTGAACAAAAACGGAAATTTTCATACTTTAATCAAAGAGTAAAACAATGAAAGAATGTTTGTCAGATCATCAACTAAATAAACAAAAAGATATTTGCAATCTTTCAGCAATTTGTGAAGCAGAGAAAAAAACCTGCACTTCACCCAAGAATATCATGACATATATACCAGAGAATCTAAGTTACTTTAAGGCAAAATTGATTCTTCACCTGACTTAATTCAGGTGAAGAATTCTCCATCCGAATTAATGACCTATTCAGAGACAAGTATTAAAATTACTTCAATGTAGGCTCTTTCTAGGGTGATGTAAAAATTGGGCAATGTATGGAATAGTAGAATGACATTTCTTTTCCTGTAAAAAGAGGAATAACTACCAATTTTTTAAATTTTCTTTAATTACTAGTAATTTTTGTCACTACTTTAAATATATACTTACTATTATATTCTTGATAGTTCTATTTTCCCATTGGCATTTTAAGCAAAGAATAATTTATGGCTCTGAGTTTCTGAAAAAGAAATCTATGCTTCTAGCTTTATTTTGACGATGCAATAGTGACAACTCTACAGAGTCTATGTTCCATGGTACTATAGCTCTTTAAACAGCAGAAACAGTATTTGCATGGAAATTAATAGAAGCATCATATTATAAAGTATGGAAACATCCACAGGCAGGTAGAATATGTCTGTGACAAAATTAACTAGGTTTTTCTTAAGGACTCCAGGGTGAGTTAAGCATGAAGTCGACTAAACCCTAAAGACTTATTTTATAGGAAAACGCCCAAATTCCAAAACAAATACTTTTCCAAAAACTAAAAGGACCACAAACTTGAGAAGTTGACAGCTTTGGTTATGGCTGTCAGCCCTCTGCCTGCACAGCAAAGAAAATCTAGAAACTTTCTTCACTTGAGTTCTCAAGACTCTGCACTATCAAGGAGAGGAGCAGGACAGGCTAGGTACTGGAAGTTCTTGGCCAGCAGTGCAGTGGAATGGTGTTTCACATAGCAGAGCAGTTCAAATCCAGGGCCCTGGAAAAATTCACATCACTTACTGGTTCTGCACAAGCTGACTGAAATCCACAGCAGATTTCAGAGAAGACAACGTTTCAAAAATGTGTTCCTATTTTACCACATGGACATTAAAAAAAAAAACCAAACATACAAAAAATGAACTTCGTAAGTACCTTCTTGCTGGTGAAACATTACTCTATATCTATGAAAATCCAGCCCAAATGTATCATGTAAACTCAAATAATGGAATAAAAACACCGGATAAAGGAAAGTGTTAGGAGATTAACTTCAAGGAGAAGGGAGGCAAAAAAAGAGATAAAACCAACATGTGGTAGGAAAACTGGTTGCAGAAGGAAAGAATAATAGCAAATAAAGAGAAAAAATTAACACATCAGAACGGAACAGATTTGGGTTGCCTACATTTTAGCTCGGTTTTGTCATGTTTCTGTAATTTCACGTGGAATAAGAATAGGTGATAGGAAGCAGTAATCTTTGGAAACATTTCTTCATTCTCTTCATTGAACAGCAAAATCA